TGGCCATCCTCCCTGGGAGGTGACTTCTCACTTTCTGTCTTGCTGTCTCTCTGTCTTTCTGGTGCTTGCAGGCACCCTATAGCAAAAACCTCTCCAAAAAAAAAAAAAAAATTGTATCCCGACAGATCCTCTTTTTTTTTAGGTTTTTGCTCTAGGGCATGTGTGCTGGTTGGAGAGAGACAGAGAGAGGGAAAGTGAGTAATCATCCCCTGGGAAGATGGGCATGCCATCGTTTCTTCTTCTCTATTCTCTAGGGATTTGGGGCATGCATGCACACATACCCAGCGTGATTTTCAAGCCACTAATCCTGGACTCAAATGGCGTCTGCCATGTGAGAGTTCAGTGCCTTACCTACCGTGCCACCTGCTGACCCCTAAAATACCATGTAGCGGCATCTGCCATGTGAGAGTCCAGTGCCTTAACTACCATGCCACCTGCTGACCCCTAAAATACCATGTAGCATGTAGTCAGTAGTGCAAAACAAAGTACTGTATGTCCTCTTTTACAAACTAAGCCTTTGGAGCCTGGTGTGTATCTTGCACTTACAGCACATTCTTGGTTTAAACTGGCCACATTTCGGGGACTCAGTGGCCGCAGGTGGTGTGTAGCTGCTGCTCGGGGCAGGATCGCTCTGTGCTTGGTATGTACACGTTGGTTTGCCAAAGCAATAGGCCCGGTCTGTGCTTATTTCCAACCTTATTGGCTATTGACAAGTTGCTTTCAAAATATCGATAGTATTCATTTACACCCTTACAAGCCATCTGTAGCAATTCGTATTTCTCCATATCCTTGATATCATTAGACGTTTAGATTTTGATCCTTCTATTGGGTATGAAAGAGTATTTCATTGTAGTTTAATTTGAATATCTACCTTGTACTCCTTTAAGAGGAAATGCATACACACAGCCCAGAGGAGTCTTTCCATAAATGTTTGAGGAATTGAAATAATGATCCTTTTGTAGAAAGGGGTGGCTGTATGTGGTCAGAAGGCATGGGAAACTTTGGTTAGGTTCTGAGTGATATGCAGATATTCGTGAGGCAGGGCCTTTGGCTCCTTGCAGGCTGAGGAGGTGGGGATAGTGGAAGGACTGCACCTTTAAATGCTATGCCCTGCACTCAGCAAGGGGAGTGCAGGGCTAAAGGCCACACATACCTACCTCTCTCCCCTGTCTCTCCTGCTAATTCTAGGATGTAAAAGAGATGTGAGACATTAAGGGGCATCGAACCCTGCCAGACCTTCATGTTGCTAAAGAAAGCCGAGAATTGTGATGAGTTGAATTTCTAGCATGCCGATAAAGGCACTGCCCTGCTCCCCTCTCCCCGGTACTCTTTTGTTAACCTTATTGGCTGAGCCAGTTTCCATGGAAACTGTCAAGTTCAAAGGGATACTGTAATATGTTCATCCCTGCCTTTCACCTCGCTCCCAGCTAGCTCTTTGGAGCTGAGTTAGAGGTTCTGAGCGCTCAGGGAGCTCCAGGTGCTCTGGCTAAGCTTTCATCCATTCATTAATCCTCTCCCTGTCCCACTCCCACCCTCCTCTCTCTCCGTTCTCTGTCTCCTCCCTGCAGGCCAGCCAGCTTGGCGTGTACAAAGCTTTTGTGGATAACTATAAAGTCGCTCTGGAGACAGCCGAGAAGTGCAGCCAGTCCAACAACCAGTTCCAGAAGATCTCAGAGGTAGGCAGCTCCCTGCACAGCCACCCAACCACACTGGGCTTCGGGGCCACTCAGAGCCTTCCAGCCTTTGGGTCTCTCCTTCCTTGCCAGTCAGGGAAGTGGCTCTCCTGATGTGTAACTCTTAGGCTGACATTTGCTTTCTTGCACCTAGCATTTTCGCTCTTACTACAGGAATATCAATTTGTTTGATTTTTTTTGAAAAAAATCTATTTCAGGTTAGAAGAACATGGGCCTGGGGGGAGGGAGTAGTAGTCTCCCATGCTGTGGTGACTTGGAGCAAGCCACATCCCTTTTGTTGGCCTTTTTCCTCATCTATAGAATGAGGCATTTGGACTTGTCCAGATCATCCTAAACTTTCTTGATAAGGACCGCCAGGGTCCTGTTTAAAATGCACTCTCCCAGGGACCTTCCTATGGTTCACAAGGCTTAGGGTGGGGCCTGGTGGTCTGCATTTTAGCAAGCTTCTGGGTGATTTTTATGATCAGAAAGATCTGGACTAGGCCATCTTATAAGAGCCTTGCCTGCTCGAAGGCTCTGCATGCCCACAACCAGAGAGGACAGGGTAGAGAATAAGCCCTAGACCATCTCACTGGCAATGTGCCTCTTCCTGCTGCTGCAGCAAAGCCTTCCCTCCTGCTCTGCAGGCCTGAGGTATGGCATCACCTGCCATTGACACTCCTCTCCAGGAAGTGGCGGGGAGGAGATGGTTGCTCCAGGATCCTTAAGGGGCACAGCACAGCTCACCCCTTTATCCAAAAAGACCTGAGTGACATCCGTAAGTCACTGGCCTTACAGGAACAGTACCCAGTCCCAAGCTCAGGGCAAGAGATCTGGTTCTGGGAAGGGGGAGACACTTGTACAGTTTTAGAAGTCCTGCCTTAAAGGCCCCTCTTGGGCCTGTGCTTTCCTCATCTCCACACTGACGCTAGAAGAGTTGGTGAGACGCAGGATAGCTACACGCAAAGCCGCTGGGGCTATGGGTCGTGCCCAAGTTTGGAATCCACCAAGAGGCAGCACGGGATCGGGCAGATGGGGCTGGAAGTGTCAGCGCAGTTCTAGGAAAAGTCAGACTGGAAAATGTGGGTTTGGGTCTGCAGCCACACTGGACTTGCTCACACTTCACGTCTGAAATGAAATGTATCTGTGGAGTCCTTGACAAGAAGGGGAAGCCACAGGCCCCTCCCACCCATGTCAGTCCACCCCTCTGGTGCAGAGAGAGGAGGGCTGAGCTCAGTTTCTTCTCCCAAACTCATGGACCGTATGAGTCACCCTCTGTCGGGGACGACATTGTTGGGGAAGTCCCACTGCGTGGAGTCATGAGGCTGGAGAAGTGGTGCTTCCCCTCACAGCTTCCAGCCCTCTCTGGGAACAGACCGGACTCCCCCCAGTCTGTGTTCAGAGTAGCCCTGTCAAGGCTGCCCACACGCCCAGGGTCATAACGAGCTCCAGAGTGTGTGGGGTCTCCTCCTGGCCTGGGGCAATCGCCTCCTCTCTGTAGATGGGCAGAAACCCTGCACCCATCTGTAAGCCCCCTCAGAGCCTGCTCACCCAGAGGGCAAAGCTAGGCTTGTGGCCTTCTGCCAGGTGGCTTCTCATTCTGACTCACGCGATGACGCCGTTGCTTCCTGCTGGCACTGCCACTTAATTATTGCAATTAGGCCCTTCTTCTAACTGCAGTAGGAGTGATTTCAGACCTTGAGGCTGCACTGGAGGGGTGTGCGGAGAAAATGTCCCTAAAGCTGGGAATCCAGGCGCCAGCCAGAGACACAGCCTAGGGAAGCCAAGGAACCCACACATGCATGCATACACACACATACACACACACACACACACACACACACACACACTCACACTCCCCAGGCTCCGTCTCTGGGGGTTTTCTCTGTCTAGAAGCAGCCTGAGACAGGAGTAGGATAAGGGTGCTCCTGCTGTCTGGGCATTTCCCTCCCTCCCAGGCAGAGCGCCCGCCCGGGCACCTGACCTTGGCCTCACCTCGCCCCCTACCTTCCCACTGACCTCCTGTTTGAGGCGCTGTGCACCCAACCTGCCAAGTGAGGGTTGTATTACAGCTCCGGTTGCAGCCACACTGTCCTGTTAGCAAGGACTGGACTGGAACCACTTTCACTAAAGGCCGATGAGAAAGGTTGGCATCTGATAAGCCATCCCTGGAGTCTTTCCAGCACCCACTGCCTGGCCACTTGGTGTGGGGTCCAGGGGGGTGTTGGCAGTTGCCCCCTCATAGCTTTCTCTCTGATACTCAGCACAGGCACTGGTGGGTAGGGCGTGTCGGGTGGGGCTTGGCGAGTCCCTCGAATACAGTGGGGTGTAGCTTGGACTGCTCCGTGTAGCCCAGCATCTCTGCCCCAGGGCCACCGCCTCCCTGCTTCCCTCTGTGCAGCCCCCGCCCCTCACCTCAAGGGTTACTCACAAACTGAGGGTCCACTGGTGCTTTGCTCGAGCCCTGTCTGACCAGGCTGCTGTGCGGATCCCTGAGTGGTTGTTCTGGGGAGGGACCCCGGGGGTGGGGTCCTGCTGTCACTGTTGCTCATTCCCTGGAAGATCATTGAAGTGGCTAGGCAGGTGCTTTAGGGACAGGTCTAAGGCATTCATTGTTGTGTGGCTCCCTGCCAACCTTTCCTGTCTCTGGCATCGAGTCCCTCCTCCTTGCCCCAGCCACTGGACTCAACAGGCTCCAGGAGGAATCAGGTGTGGCACGGGGAAGCCAGGTGGTGAGGCAGAGGCGGGCCCTCTCCTCACATCTGCATCCTGGGGTTCGGAGCCCTTCTTGCTCCATGCTCACAGTGGGGGTGGCAGGGAGCAGGCCAGGTAGTGATTGCTCTCCTCCCTTTGGCAGGAACTCAAAGTGAAAGGTCCCAAGGACTCCAAGGACAGCCACACGTCCGTCACCATGGAAGGTACTTGGGGCTGGATTACAGTCACCTTCCTTTGTCTGGCCGTGCGAACTGAACGCAGCGCCCTTCCTGTGCCTGTGCGTGTGCGTGTGTGTGTGTGTGTGTGTGTTTGCGCGCACACATGCGAGGAATCCAGCCTCGGCCCCAGGCAGCCGGCCAGCTACAAACGTGCTCCTCCTTAGGATGCCAGCAGGCTTCTCACTCCCCTCCCCTCCCTTCCCCTTCCCCTCCTCCTCCCCTCCTCCTCCTGCCTCTCCACGAGCCTCCCCGCCCCTCCCCTCCCCCTCGCTGGAAGAGCTCGGGAGCCGCTGCTCGATTCCGGAGGCTGTGCGGATTCCGGCGGCTGTGCAGGCGGAGGGGGGAGCGGC